TCAGGCCTTTCTCAAGCCCAAGCACCATCAATTTTACATGCATCTTTCTCTAGACATCTTGCCAGGCCTTTCTCAAGCCCAAGCTCAATCAATTTCACATGCATCTTTTTCTGGACGTCTTGCCAGACCTTTCTCAAGCCCAAGCTTAATCAATTTCTCATGTAAATTTTCTTCAACCCATAGCAACCTTATCCATTTGACTGCTGTTCTTCTAATTGCACACATTTTCATCGGTAGATGGCATGCCTTCCCCCCACTCAAAATGTGATGTCCCCATCGCACGACTAGTTCTCACTCGGAGATACGGAACCTTGACGCACCAACTGAGTTAAGAACGCCGACCCATCTGCTCCTAGAAGGAAGGGTGATCAGTCCCTCCTCGGTAGGGAACACCTCATCCTTCTACTTAGTCCGGCATTTTGCTATAACGAGACGGGTGTCATTGCTGAGGTACCACCTCACTTCTGGCAGGTAGGTCCAGTCCAAGCCTCCCAGGAACTCGTCTTGCCGTAAAAGCATCCCTCGCGAATCGTTCCTCCCGAGTGGTATTTTCTTGGATCCGGCCTCTTCCTTTCAAGAGAGTTGGGGCTCTCTATTAGTCTATGAATGCAGTTACGAAGACCTGTTAGTCCCGGAATGGTTGTAATGATCCGGCAGGGCGGTGTCAATGCCCTGTGGTGGGTGCGGACTCCACCCGGTACATCGCCTGACCCCTCCCTTTGGACAGTGATGCTCAACTTAACGCGAGCGACCTTGGTCTATCCCAAGCGGTCACGCTGCCCCTCTACGGTATGGCGTGTGGTTGGGGAGAGCAAATGAGACTAGCAAAAGAATGATACTTCACCCTTTTGGTTCCTCACCCTTTGACGTTTAGATTCCCAACATGAGGCGCAGTCTGAACTCCTCGACCAGAGCTCGTTGTCGGAGTTAGTTCTCGACGACGAGCACCAATCAAAGAGAGAGATGTCTTGGTCATTTAACCTTATCCTTCTTCATGAGGAACACGTAGCGCTGAGACTCTCCCTTGGAGAGTAGAGGTCCTGGGGTCGTGGTGCAAGCACCGGTATCCCCCTCTTGCTAAGGCCTCAGACTAGATAAAAAAAAGGAAATGTCATTCCAGTGCTATTTCCATGTCTTTTCCAATCCGCCTAGGCCCCCCTGATATGCAATGCAATTTCCAATTCTCAAGCAATTCCGCAATGCAAACTCCAGATCTTCAAGCTCAACCTTTCTCAAGCAATCATGCAAGAGGACCCTTATAACTATTTCCAAATGACCCTTATCAGGGGTCATTTTGCCATTTCCGGTTGAACAACCTTGTCAGGGTCATTCTTTTCCATGTCACCGAACGACCTTGTCAGGGTCGTTCTTATCTATTTCAGTCGAGCGACCTTGTCAGGATCGTTCTTTTCCATTTCAATGTTAGCGTCTGAGGGGGTGGGCCTCGAGGACACGGATCCCATCTTTGTCTTGGGGTTAGAAGATCACCATCTTTTACAGTTTTCTGCGTACGATATCTTTCATCCTCTCTCAATACAATTTGTTGTTTCTAATAACCTTCTGCATACATCCGACTTAGCGTCTAGTGCTCGAGTTGAGGCTTGCAACCTGCACTAGCCCCCCGGCCGTTCAACTATGGTGAAGGATAGGGGCACCCTTTCTATTTTCACTCTTTCTTACCTCTCAGGCTTCTTGCTATTTTCAGACTCATTCAATGACATTCATGACTTAGTTGGATTAGGCTCCTAGGGAAGAGGGGTTCTCCCCCCTCTTTACCCATAGGTCCCCTAACCTCTCTTGTACTTGACCGACACTCAATGCCTTGCTTCACTCGTCAATCCAAATTCATAGTTTTTTTTCAAAGGTGCAATCCTTGTCTCGTCCAGGCTCACAATACATCCATTCCAACCAATCTTGTCCTCATCTCCTTCGTCATTGTTTCGCACGGGGTTTTCCTAAGGTAGCCTATTCAGGAAGTAACTCAAATACTGTTTTCTAGTTCATCGAGGCATAGTTTTGGCTAGTCCTTGTCCCGCTCATTTCTAGCAAACTCATTCATATTCAAATTTTGTCATTACAATATTGCAAAACACAACTTCTGTCCAAATGCGCGTAGCACCTAGTCTCTTTCGTTATCATATGTCCTATACCGCTTGGCCCCCCGTTCATCCTTCCTTTCTGTTGACCCCTTGGCTCCCAGGCCGGAGGCTAGGATTTCCCATTTCTTTTCGCAATTTCTTGCAACTCCTTCTCATTATAAAAGTCCAGGGGTGTAGCTGCCACTCCGGCCTCCATCAGTTCTCTGGCCTTGATGATGCAGTCATGTTTGATCACGCTAACCCATTGCTCAAACCAATGACTATGTGTTGGTCTAAATTCATCTTCCCATCTGAAGGATCCTTCTTGTAGCCTACTTGTGGAGGGCCGCCCTTCTTCTCCAGGCCTCGAGATCTTATCAGTTTCATCACCACTACTAACCTCAATGACCTCCTGCACTTTTTCATCCTCGTCCTCATCCTCTTCCCCTTGCGCGGGGCTGAACTCATCCGTAAAGTTTTCAGGATTCAAGTTATAGGGGATATCCGCCCTCCTTTCGTATTCCTCCCCAAAGTCCGTGTATCCCCTCTAATCACTGTCATGGCCACTTCGTTCGTCATGCCGGCTCTCTCTTTCGTCTTCCCCTTTTTGGCAACCGTTATTCATACCTTGCCTTCCTTCGTTCTCCCCGCACCGTTGCTCATGCGGTTTACAACCCTCGGCCCCCTCCCTGGCGAGGCTCTGACCCCTTTCTCTTCCCCATACATCCCTCTCTTCCACGCTCATTCTTTCTTCCTCGCTCTCACTCCGTGTTGAGATATATATCCCTTCCCCTTTTTTGATAGGCGAGGGTCCATACAAGTTTTCTCGCTCCTTTGCCCAGTACTTGTGTGGACAGATACCCTATATACAACTCCCCTTTTTAGTTCTCTGATCCCCACGTGGTCTCGTTCCTTCTCTCTCGTTGGGCCTGTTGATCCAATTGCTGTCATTTTCGTTGTCGGATTCCATTTTCACCTCTAAGATTTCTTCCCTGATCCTGTTATATATAACAAAACAACACCCTTCGAGCCCCTCATACACACACTCTCTCAGTTTGGTAGACGATACTTCCCAAGACTGCTCCCCGTACCCCTCATACAAAAACATATTACACATCGCCTTCCCATACAGATGCTACAGTTGCAATGACCCCATTATTTCTCACAAAAACTATGGTACAATGCTTCAGGCATCCTTTCCCGACACCATCCACCTCTTACACACACAAAAAAAACATGGCACAAAGGTTCCACGACATCCCACGCCCATTGTCAATCAGCCCAAACCGTTACCCCCTCCCTCAAAAAAGAAAGCCCCACAAACGTAGTCAGAGATAAACCGTAGTATAGGCAAGGTTGCCTCCAACTCTCAGTTTGTTGACTCCTCAGTTTCCTTATCTTGGGCCTCCTGAAGCCATTGCTCCACTGGATCCCGACTTAGAAACCTGACCAGTCGCTGCCCTGGGAAGGGTCCTTTCAATCCAGTTTCATCCAAATCTTCCAATTCGAAGGAGTCCCACACGCTTAGCACTCCGGTAGAGTCCTTTGAACCTCCTTCCCAACTGTCCAGACCACGTGCTTTCCAGTGTCGAGTTCCTAACCAGTACCATTTCCCCCATCTAGGGTGGTTCCTTTCGGATATTCTTAACTTGGTCTCACCTTGCTTTGTCCCTCATCCTGCTATCTAGTACCCGGTTGGCAATGTCCTCCATGACCTCCTCATTTCGAAGGACCTGCTGACATCGTGCTTCAATCAGCTCCTCCGTAGTCATGTGCAGATCGTTGTCTAGCCTGGTCCACGTGGGTATCAAGGCCTCTACGGGGAAATCGATCTCTCTTCTGTACCATAGTTTTGCTGGGATACATCCCGTTGTCCTTTTTGACGTCATGTTCTCCGGAAAGACAGCCTGCTTAAGGTATCTAGGCCAACTCCCAAGATCGTCTACCGCGAGCTTTGCAATTGTGTTCTTTAAGGTCAGGTGCCCCTTTTCCACAGGCGCATTAGCCTTGGGGTGATATGGCTCGATGAGCTTGATAGGTACACAGATCCTCTTAAGCATACCTAACACCACCTGGTTCACGAACTCAGTTTCATTATCTGCTATGAACCTTCTGCCTCATGTAAAAGTCCTCTATCCAATCCGCTACCTCTTTGCCCGTCCTTTTCTTGAGGACGACTGTCTCCACAAACCCACTCAAGTTGTCCCTAACATCCATAACATACATGTATCCATCTGCTGATACAGGTATGACTGCGAGGTCGAGATGGACCAGATGCCTTGGCCCTAGCACCCATGTTGGTCTAAGTGGCTCGAAGACGCGGACCGAGCTCCACTCTTGGCAGATTAGGCAGGTCGACCAGTACGTGGCCATTATACTCGCCATACCTGGCCAACAGTAGCGAGATGCTATCTTTGCAAGGGTCCCTTTGGGCGATCGATGTCCCCCAGCTAGTCCGTCGTGCATTTTCTGGATTACGTCTAGTTTTTCAGACCTCCCACATACGACTCTCTTAGGCATAACGCCTTCCTCTCTTTTGAACAGATGGTCATTCCTTAGGAGGTATCTTTCGACATCCTCCCTTGCTTGAAAGTTGACCACCATGGGTTGCTTGTTCCCTATCAGCAGCAATCCGATTTCTCAAAAGATCCCCTCACACATCTGAACATAGAAAAACTCATTTCCTTCCTGACCCTCACCCTGCCTCTCCTGCATCTGGTTCACCAGTAGCTGCAACTATTTTCGTTCCCAAGACTTTACTAAACTCATCATGGCTTCCTGACCTCCCTCAACAACCATCGCTATCAATTGCTCCCTCAGACCCACTATCACTCCCCATGAATCCTTCTCCTATTTGCGTCCTTGTGTGGTGACTGGTCCTTCCCTAAGTTTCGCAACTACGGCAGGTGCCCCTTTTTCCAAGGTCTGAATCAACAATTCTCCCGACGCTCATACTTCGCTCATCATTTCGTTATCCACTGCAAGGGTTTCTCCTTCGTATTCAAGGAAGCGTCGATGGGTTCCACATCCTCCACCCCTTCGGGTGTGATGCAGACCCGACTTATCCCGTCGGCCTTGTTTCTGAGTCCAACGATTCGTTCGATTTTGTATTCGAACTACCAGATGAAGCCTACCCATCTCCCAACAATCGGATCTATAGGCTTATAATTTTTTAAAGTCCCTGCGACATTGGTCGGATTGATCCTTAGGATAAAATGCCTCCCGAGTAGGCTTGGAAGGTCTTGGGGCAATGTAGAACGGCTAGGACCTCCTTTTTGAATTGGGAGTATCGCCGTTCCGTAGAGTTCAGGGTTCTACTTTTGAACCTAATCATCCTTTCTTTCCCTTCCTCGTCTTTCTGTATCAAAACGCCCCCTACAGCCAAGGGTCCTCCGTCCGTCTCGAGGATAAACGGTCGTCCAACTTCGTCGTTAAAACAGGGCGCTGCCAAGGTGACTTGTTCCGATGTCAGTGTGTCCTAGAGGGTTTGGACGACTGCCTCTCGCGCCTCAGTCCAATCCATGGTTCCTTCCTCTCTGATCATGGCGCGGATAAGCTCGACAATTTTGGCAAATTTTTTAATAAATATCCTCCAAAAGTCAACTACCCCTAAGAATGTTCTTACCTCCGTCGTCGTGCGCAGGGGCATTGGCCATTGAGATATCTTATCGGTTTTTGCCGGGTCCGGCTTCCTCTCATATGCTCCAAAACGAAATCCCAATATGGTCACCTCCGGACTTGCCAGAATACGCTTTGGCCGGCTAGCGGCGATATTGTATATTAGGAAGCAATGGAGTAAGTCCTTGATGTCCTTTAGATGGTCCCACACGAATTTTCAAATTCCCGGCTGAACTTCCGTTTTGTTCTTCTCCTGGGCGTCTTTGATCGGGTTGTCGTTGATGTAGGGTTTGCATTTCTCTGGGAACATGTCCCCTACTACGGCAAACATCCTTCGTTATGCTTCGGCCACCGCATTTGTAAAGCCCATAGGGGTTACCTGTATCTGCAACTATCATATGAGAGTATGCATTGTGGTGTATGGTCTGTCCCGAGCGTCCAATGAAAGCTGATTATACCCTGAATACAAGTCTACCAGGGAGTAAATGCTTCGGTCGGCGTGAGACTTTGCCAACAAGTCGGTCCACGGTAGCGAACCGGCATCCCGGATGGTCACTGCATTCAATTTTTGCAGATCTTGAATCCACCTTAGTGTCTTGTTGGGTTTTCGAAAGGCGAACCACCTGTTCGCATAATGAGACGCGGTAGACTCTACGACGAAGGAATCAATTTTTGCTCTGAGTAGGTCCGTTACTTCCTCCGCTATCCCAAACTCGTAGGCTGACCCTTTGTCGTTCCAACACTCATGCTCTACCGTGTGGATCCTAACGGGAGAGATTAACTTTGCATCTAGTTGCTCTTTCTGATGGTCATTAAAGGCGAATGCCAGGTGAAATTCCTGGCACGTCCTTTTGATCAGAAGAGTTTCTTCCTCCGTTAAAAACCCGTTTATTCCTATCTTCATGGTGTCGGTCACCTCATCCAGTATCCGATGCCCTTTTGTCGCCCGTCTTTCTCGAATTACTCGTAAAGCCTCTTCTTCCTTTTCCATAGCTTCCTCCTTGGATGTCTCTAGTAGGATTGAGACTGACTTAACTTTCTTCCCTACTGGTTTGTACTTTCGAACACTTCCTTCCGGTATCTTTCTTCTAAACAATGAACGGTCGGGATTGCCTCTGTTGTCTCCGCGATCCAAGGTTGAATACAGATTTCTTTTTCATTCAAACAGTAGTTCTTTCGCACCTCTTCTTCGAATTTGGCAAGCGTCGTCGAGTCCACCCTACTTTGTGATATCTGATAACTTTGATGAGCTGTAGCAAATCGGGAATTTCGAGCGTAACTTCTGATACCACCTTCTGCACTTCTTTCAGCTTGGGCAGACTGGCCCCGAGTTCAACCTCTGATTCCTTTGTCGTTACCATGACCCCTAAGGCCTCGTCCTCCTGCCTCCTTTTGTTTTGAGGCAGACCCATCTTAATCCATTCTTTCTTACTGAATGTCTTCTCAATCATGATTTCCACCCTCTCTCTCATTCCCTTCATTCGAGCGAAAGCCCCCTTTCGAGCGCTATCTTGGAACGAAGGCGACCACGTTGCCAGTTTTCCCTTAGGAGGGTCTTCTCCGGTCCCAATGAGTCGGAGGAGCTCCCACGTCCAGTTACCGGGTCCTCTAAGTCCACCATATATGTCCCGTCATAAAGATGCATCCCTATCATTTCTACATTGGCACACCACGGTCTTCCGAGGATTATGTCGTGGTCCATCTCGTCTAATACGATCATCTGTTGAAATGACCAGATTGACTCCCGGACGCCCGCCTTGACTGCACATTTGGTGACATATCCTGAAAACGGGATCTCGCCACCGGCTCCTCGGATGCTCCTCATTACTTCCTTGTTAACTACACAGTTGTCAACTGTTGCGAAATCTCTCCATATAAGTGTGATTTCCGCACCTCCATCTACTAGAGCGTCTGTGTAATGAGTCACGATCTGCACTTTTAGCTTTCCTACGGGCAGCGCATGGAAAGTAAGCTTTGTTCTGTGCGACGCTCTCATGACTTCCCCGCCTTCACGATCTGGTAAGCTTAAGCGGATGTCTTCGAAAACCTTTTCTAAATCCTCTAAGCCTCCAGGGATCCTTTGAAGGTTGGCGACTTCTTGCCGAGTCTCCTCCTCCTTTTCCTTTTCCTGTGATTCCGAAGTTTCGTCTACCTCCACTCATCGGCGAGTCAATAGTCGCCTAAGCCCTTTGAGCAGTCTGGGGTTTGCTTCTAGCATGGTCTGAAAAAATACTGATACCATGGTTCCCAACAACTTGCTAAGAGTGTTATCGATCTCTGGCATGGTTAGGATCGGGATTTGATACATGAACATGACTTTGTTTGCGGGTTCCTCTTCCCTAGGCTTTCCGTAAACTTTCTCTGGTTCCCCGGTCTCAAGCTCCGCTTGGACCGTGGTGCCTCCAACAACCTCCTCCATCACTATATCACGGATAACTGTTCTTCTTGCCGTTCTCAGTCGAGTAGTCGCGTTCACCCTGTCGTGTCCGTCACCCTCCAGGATAAAATTAACCTGTACCTCGCGCCCTTGGGGTTGGTCCCAAACGATATCGGCTACTGGCTCGGCCTCTACCGCTGCTATTTCTAAGTCATTGAGGATGATCACGGCGCGCCGCATTCCTCCAGGCGAGTTCCAATTCACTCGCTCTCCCCGAGGCTCAAATATTTCCCTTTTTAGTGACCTGGTGCATCTCTTTCTCAAGATATTGTGGTTGAGCTTTGGGCAAGCTCGCACAAAGTGTCTCATCATTATGCAGTATCTGCAATGCTTATTGGCGGGATCTCTCCTATTGAACCCCCGGTTGGCCACTCCTGCTGGGACCACAGCTTCTTGGGGAGGGAGGGAGGGTCGGGATACTTGCGTCTGCATTACCATTAGTGTGTTCTCCACTCTCTCTATCTTATTGTCGACTTCGTTCACGCGTTCATGTAGGTTTTTTATCCCTCTTTTTACCTTATTCCCTGTCTTGCCGGTCAGATCAATGACTTCTCCTTCCTTAAGCAAGGCCAATGACTCGGTCACTACTGCTTTCTCAACAAGGTCTGTTACCGTACTGAAATCAACATCCCTCGTGCTCACGAATTTGCTCGTTTGTTGGTATGCTGACAAAATCTTGTCTTTGTCGAACTCGGAGAACTGCCTGAGAAAACACTTGCTCATTATTTGGTCCGTTACTCCGGGAATCCTCAATGTTACCAGGGTAAATTCTCTCAAAAAGTCGTTGTATGTGTCGAAGTTCTTCCTTTGTACTGCCGCTAATTCGGTTTCTGTTGCCATTTTCTCTGCCGCCAGGTACTTCCTCATCATCACATCCCGGGTCTCCTTCCAAGACCTACTCGCGGCGACGATAGACATTATGTCTCATCCTAGGCTCAGCGATACATGCTGCCCTAGGTGATCCATCTTTTCTTCCTCACTCCATTTTAGTAACGCAGCAGGTTCTCATAGTCTATTAGGAATTCCGTGATATTTGCCCCGTCAAACGTCAACTTCCTTTTAGCGTATGCGAGGTACCCTTGGTTCTTGTTTAGCGCTTGTGTGAGGGATGACACCATCTTCTTGAGGCCACCCTCGGGGGCTGCTGGTATCACCGGCCGTACTAGTTCTCTAGCCCTCCTTGCCGACCCTTTGTCTATCTTCGGCTTTTGCAGTCCCTTCCGGATCAAACCACCCCAATACCCTTCCCTAAGGCTTCACAATCCCTCGCACCCCCTCATGACTATTGGTGCGGCCTGCAGGCGGCAAACCCTGTTATCTATCGCTGGTGGATTTGTAGCTTTCTCTACTTCTATTCCAGGAGGGTCCCCTTTCTCTTTTCCTCTCTTGTCGGGCGTTCTTCCAGGATCAGTATCCTTACCCCCCTGCCTGATTCCGCCTTGGATGACCCTCTCTTCGTCATGCAGCCCTTCCCTCGGAGGGTCCTCCTCGCTTTCGATCATCAGTTCCTCGATCAGTCTCGCCTTGTATTCTAGGGTTCTCTTCTCTATTTCTGCTAGCTTGTGCCGCGCGTCTGTGATTCTCACCTTCTTTGATACGACACCGTCCAAATTTCGTAGGCTCGATCTTTTTTTTTTTTCTACCTTTCCTGGTTTCATGGGTCCATCGCTTGCTTCCCCCGGCTTTCCCCGAGCTTTCTCCTGAGAAGATCTTTTTCCTGTTCCCCTTGGTCCCATCCGGATTTGTCGATTCTCTGTCCTTCTGGCCCTCTTTTCTTTGTACAGCGCTGCCTCGTATGTCTGGTCCTCCCTCGCTTCTACGATTGCGTGTCTCATCCTTTGTCGCCATTTTGCCTAGATCTGCATAAGCCAAAGGATTTTTCCGGGACACAAGCCGCTCGAGATTTTTAGGTTCCATAGGCCCTAGTCTTCTTTATGTGCCTTATTCAAAGACCTACCCTTTCCCTTTTTGCCATTCGTTTGTTTGTCGAAAAAAACCGTAATTGGTCCGCTCCCCTATCGAACTAGAGGGTAGTACTCAGCTTCCTGCTCTGATAGGCCCACTAGAGCATTCTAGTATGCCTTACAGGATACGCAGGATCCCCGACTGTATCTCTTGCCGGAGAGGATTCCCGGTCCTCCTTAAGGTCAGCGTTTTCTTTTATCGTTTTTGAGGAGGGTTTCAACCTTTCTGGTTACGACGGTCATTGTGGTCTTATCCCCGCATTGGTTTATACAAAATGCGAGTCCGGCTACTATTACTTTCCGATTGACGAAGGCGCACCAGTAACAGGGGTCTTTCCTAGAGATCGAGCCTTTGTTCAGTATTCAGGAATGTCTGCACTTCACCACAGGTGGTTAGGCAAGGTTTGCATCTGCTATGGTCGACCTGCCTTGGCTGAGTGTGCCCCTCCCCACCTTCCAGACTACGCATTTTTACCGTCCTTTCCCCACTTTGTAGTGCCGTATTTGGGCGTCTGGCTCTGACGGCCCCCTCCCATTTCCATTGGTGAGCCCCTACATGTGATAGCATATACTGTATTCACCATACAGGCTCGTTCCGTGGTGCTAGTCTTGCTCTCGCCTCCGTGGCCCTTCCGGTTCCATAGGCTCCTCGAACAATTGAGCTACCCCTGCTAGACAACTCTCCCCTATCTCGATTTCTCTCCGAATTATGTGCTCGTATTCCACATAGGCTAACCGCGGCATCCCGAATATTAAAATATTGATGACCTCCAGTAGCTCCTGGGCCTGGTTTCCCCAAACGACCCGTGTTCTACGGAGATATTGTAAAACCTCCTGATGGCTTGACGTGTGAAGTGGTCTACCCACACTGTTACTGAGTCCCCCAGATCCTGTGCCCTAAGAAGGCTCCCAAAGATGAGGTCTATCATGAATCGGGGGACCTGACACCTCAGCGGGGTTGCTGGTGCGCTAAACCCTTGCCAGCTCCCTACTTCCACCCTGGTCCGTAAGCCCACGTTCCTCCTGCCCCTGATTGCTTGACCTATCCGCGTCAATACCCGGGCGGCCCTCCGAAAGACCGGGGCTAGCTCGTGACCCTGTGCTATTCCGATCCCCAGCAAGTGTCACCCAACTTCGGGTAGGTACAAAGTCCTAGTTACTTCCAAGTTCGAGTATAGGTCATCTCCAGGCCCCCGGTTAAACCACATCCGTGTCCACAAACATTCCACCCTCACGAAGGCGCAGTCCCTTCCCAAGGTTATGGTCCGCCATTCTACGTCGATTCCCTGGACTTCGAAGCTTGCTGGAAGAGATACTTCCCACCCCCGGCCGTTATTCCAGGGTGGGCCAGGGTACCGGGGCTGGCGTGCCATCTGGACACGTCTTGCCGCCATCGTTGATCAGTGATCTCCTACATAGCCCAAACAGAGAGGATTATAGCCTGTCTTCAGCAACATTCCGTCTACCGCGTCCATTTCCTTTTATGCCCTCATTCTTCTTCTCTGGCTTCTACTATTCTTCCTTTCTTGGTTCGTATTTTAGGGGGCAGCGTCTTCCTCTGGCAACTCGTACAACCGGTACAGATCGTCCTATGTAAGTCCGGCCCGGCCTACCTCCCACCAGATGACATCCCACAAGACGTGGTCATTGATTAGTGGAATCTTTGGCCTTGTTGTCAAAGTTGCGTGTAGTATGCGTAGTACCTCATACCTCTCCCTGCTGTCGAACAACCCCATTTCCAGGAAGATTCGGTAGTACTCCCTGTAAGCCATCGCTTCTTCGAAAGTTAGGTCGGCAAGGGCCGCTACTACCTACCTGACATGCGCCTCGCCACCCATCCTTTGTAGTATAAAGGGTGGCAACCTGATTCGTACGTTCTCACTAGGTAGAATAAAGGTTCCTACCATAGCCACCCTTAGATCCGCCGTTACTTCGTCCCGCTCACGATTGACGAACTCGAACCCCGCCTGCCATACTAACTGTCAGGCGCCCTTGAACATACTCAGCGGGTCTCCCCCTGATGCTAATGTGACCCCAAAGGTGCGCCACCCATCCTTTGATAGTTACAACCGCCCCTTTGCGCGTACGTGCCCTCGCAGATCCAGATTCCATCCGCCCTGTTCCCCTTCCGCATGCTGCTCCACTTCGGTTACCAGGTACACTGTGTTCTCCAAAAGTTCAATTCCGACCCAGTCCACTACAGGATTCCGGATTTCGTTATGGGTTGGCATGCTGATTTCTATGTCGCCTTCCCGTTCCCTTGGTGGCTCAATTCCCAGTGGGCGGTCTTTAAGGAACGTCCTTCTTCGGGTCATTTCGTACTGCCCTTCTTGTCTTACTTCCTTGCCTGCCATCAGTAGTTGCGCCCACAATAGTCGGATGCCCCTCCCCTGTTTTAATCTTCATGCGCGCCCTGCTTAGCTAATGTATATGCCTCCTATCCTACGTTACCCCTTAGTTTACATAAA